GCCCCTGCTGGCTGTCCCCCTTCCTCTGCCTGCCCTCTGGGGACTCCGCCTCTTCTCTGAGTGCTGGCCAGGGGTCCTGCCAAGGCACACCTCACTTCTCCCCTGCCCTGATGACCTGGGTCCAGTTGTTTCCCCTAGTGACCCTCCATGGGAGAGGCAGCTGTCCTCACAGGCTGTGGGGACACTCTGTGTTTCCCTGGAACCCGGGGGAGTCTTCAGAGAGGCGCTGCCTTGGAGACCGCCCTGCCTTGGCATCCAGGCTGGGCAGGGTGGGTGGAGGTGGCACCGCCACCCTAACTTCTGTGCTTTGTCCCCAGAATGCACGTTCTGAAGCTCTGCTCTGTGGCCTGGGATGGCACCTGCCTGTGGATGGTGGCTGGCAGAGGGGGCTGCCCGTCACGGCTCCCCCTGCTCTGGGCAAGCGCGTCAGCTGAACACTCGTGTCCAGGGTCTGCTGTCTAACGAATAAAGCTCTCATGCTCAGCATGGGGACCGTTCTTCCTGCCATGCCTCTGCCCTGTGTTCCTCCCCTTGGCTCCTCCCTCCTACGTTCTGAGAACCATGTCACATGCACGTTGTTAAAAAGCTGGGCCTGCCTTCCTTGGGCAGAGAGAAGGCAGCAGTCCCCTCACAAATGGGAGCTTCTTGTATGTGTTGGCAGGTCAAGTGTAACCCCGAGACCCTTCCATGGCCTTCTTCCCTCTTCTCCTTCATGAACACGGGTCTGCTGTATGAGCCATCAACGAGTGTCACTGACCTCCCGTCCCATTCGGAGTCCCGGCCTCTGAGGGGAGGCTGTGGCCCGCCCTCCCTGGGGCAGCCTGGCTCTGCACTCACACTGAGAAGGCCCAAGTGTGCCCAGGGTGGGCCACCACTCGGCCCCCACGGGGACCGTCCTAAGGGGCGTCTGCCCTGTCATGGTGCAAAGGCCAGGAGTCCCCTGTGCCCACAGGGTGGGGTTGCTTGGTGTCCTCCCCCTGGGAAGGAGACTCTGGGCCCTAGGCAGCAGCCTTCATTCTGACCCTGTGCTGGACCCTGACCTTGACTCCCACTCCCTAGAAGTGCCACAGAACTGCCCTTGGCCTATGAGGGGCATCTCTCAGCTACTCGTCCTACGGCTGGGACTGGGAGGACCATGTCAGGAGGTCCTGGTCTTGGAATCCAAAGCCTTCCTGTCCCTTCATAATGGTGTGAGGTGCCACCTGTCTGACCTCAAGTGACCCCACACCTGGGCGTGCACCAAAGACCTGCCTTGCACCTGAGGAGGGATGCAGCCGGGCTCGCCTGGCCAGGTAGCTGCCTGGGCCCTGTCCCCCACTCCTCACAGATTGCCCAGCCCTGAGGCCGAGCCCCATTACAGTTGCAGGATGCGAAGTTTCCCTGGCCCTGGGCCTAGCCTCAGGCCTCACAGCTGCTGAGACCCCTGGGCTGGTCAGAGCCTGAGCTCTGTTGACTTCCCTCACTGACCTGCATGTGCCCTCCCCCCTCGCCCTCCAGCAAGACCTCTGTCACGGGAAACTGTCCACCTGTGTCCCCAAAGCCCCCCTTGCCCTGCACCTGCTGTGCCAGGACTGCCCTCCCTGACCTGGGCTTAGGTGCCCCTGTGCTGTGCTCCACCTGGCCTTGGTCTCTTGTGCCCCCTCTGTTCCCTCGACAGTGACCCAGTGCCACCCCAGAGCCTGCATCTGGGCAGAGCCCTCCTCCTCCCCCACAGAGCTGCTCCCCTCTCCAGCTGAGCTTGTCCCCAGCTGAGCTAGCACCATGGCTCACACAGGTTCTGGAAGGTTCTCTCACTACTCTGTGTGAGCATTGAGTTTGCTCCTGTAACAGGGTCCACTTTAGGCTTGGACTTGACCCTTGCTGCTCTGCTACTGCTACTGGTTTTTAAAATGGACCTGTTTCTTTCTCTTCCTCTCTCCCTGCTCCTCCCTAATGTCAGGGGAAACAGGAATACCTTTCCTCCCATCCTAGGCAGAGTTCTCTGTCCCTGAGTACACCCTCTCCATAGGAATGAAGCAATGCAGGCTTGGGGATAGCACCCGAAATCTCAGAAATGACTCTCTCTGCTGGGTTTCTGTTCTCGTGACTGGGTTCACTCCAGTTGAACTGGGCTGACTGACTGGGCTGTGCACCATAACCACACAAGAGACACAAATACCTTTTTATTGGGGTCGATGTGACGGCTCCACTGACCTTAAGAGTCCGCAGAAAGAGAGAGAGAGCACATGCTGACCCCTTTTATTGAGGAGAAGCTATTCAAATGAGGCAAGGGGTCAGGTTCAGGGAACTGAGTCTATCTTCATGATGTCCACTGTCAGCAGGTTGACTGACACCTGGGTAGGCCACACCCAAGAGCACAGTAAGAGAAGGGGACACACACAAGGCACTTCCATGGAAGATTCTATCCTAATCAGGGCAAGGGGTTGTATTACAAAGGAACAGGTGAGCGTAGCTCCACCCATGGGGTATAAGGAGACCAGCTTGGGCAGGAAGACACAAGTCCCTGGAACCCTAGAAGAACAGGACAGTCTAGCAGCATGGGTGCCTGACGCTACATGGCTCAGCAGCGGAGTCAACTCAAGTCTCATGCTAGGTTGGTCTCCCACATGTCTCCAAATTAACAGAAGTGAATCACAGCCCTGGATGAACAGGTGGGATTTTAGCCTTTGACCCGCCTCTTTAGCAGCCTCCTGTTAAAGACGGGCAGAGTCACAGCCTGTGGGGCACGAGTACCCTGTGTTTCTTCTTTGCTAGCAAAGCAATAAACCTTCTTTTTCCTTTTTCTAAAAACTGTCCTTGTTATTGGATTGGAATTGGGGACAGGGATGGGGCCTTCAGCAGCATCCAGTGTGCACACTGAGAACCTGGATTCCACACACGTGGTCATGCTTCTTGGGGACATCTTCTTTTCTGTGGGGACATCTGCTGTGCCACTGGAGAAGGAGTCAGGGTCAGGTGGGACTTGAGGACTGGAAGGTCAGGTGCCAGTGACCCAAAGGAGGCAGATTAAAAGCAGCTGAACAAGGCTTGACTGAGATTCGCTCCCGGGGAGAGGGAGACCCTGCAGTCCCACAGAGCAGCTGGAATCGCACCAGGCTCATGGGAAACTGTCCACCTGCGTCTCTAGCCAGATTGGGATTTTATTGGGCTGGAAGGGAGGGCTTGGGACAGAAAAGGAACATTTTTAGAGTCTCTTGTCCTCCTGGGGTGGGTCAGGGGATCTTGCTGAGATCTGAGTCCTTCCAGGATTGATCAGGAGACCCTGTTGATTGACAGGTGGTTAGGAGGCACCGTCACTGCTTGTCTGTTGGCACCTGATGGCTTGTTCTGTCACGTGTGTGGGTAGCCTGGTGCTTTGTTCCCTTAGCCACCTCAAACTTACCTATTAAGGACCTGGAGACTTTCACTCCCTTTTGGTCTGTTCCAGGTTCTCCCCTGTTGGTTGGCCTTGGGTGTGCGGACCCTTTCTGGCTGTCTGTCTTTCTGTTTTGAACACCCATGGAGCTGGAGGTGGCCTGTCAGAGGAAAAGCAGTGTGAGAGATGGGCATGTGCAACTCTGTCTGTTTCAACGAGGCTGTCTGCCAGGCATGGTTTCAGGGATCCCCGTCTGTCCCTGTTCCTCTTTTTGGGTCTCTCTCTGGCCTTTAAGACAGGGCCATGCTGAGGGGACCTTACTGGCAGTCTCTGTGGAGAGGGATCATGGTGAAAGGGCCACCGAGAGGCAGAAGCCTAAGAGAGAGACGGGCTCTGCATCGTGTTCCTGGACTATCAGCACCTTGCAGCTGGAGTTGGTCTGTCAGAGCTGAAGCCTATGAAGGACTGTCCCACAGGCCTCGGTGCAGGTGCAGGGGGGTGGGCACCCTCAGGGCCACCTGCAGTGTCAAAAGGCACAGCCTCTGGTGTGCGAGGGCAGCAGACTCCAGAAGAAGGGTAAAAGAGACTCCTAGCCTTCAACCCAGAGCTGGCCCCAGCACTGCTCCTCAGCCTGGCCCCGGGCAGTGCAGATCCCTCCCTGTGGGTCAAGGACACCATCCCTGAGCCGAGCAGGGCAGCAACCCAGGAGAGCTGCCTGCCTGCAGAGAAATGGCCACGGGAACCGCTCTGCCCTGCCTTCCAGTGCCTTTGGCCCTGGGGTGGAGGCTGCTGGCCACAGAGGACGTGGCAGGAGGTTCCCGCTGGTCAGTTTAGGATCTGGGGACAGGAATAGACTCCCCTTTTAAGATTTCACAGGAGACCCCATTTGGCCAGAGGGTATCAATTCTAACATAACAGTATCCCACCAAACTAAATGCCTGAAGAGACTGGCCGAATAAACCACTGCACCCAGAAAAGAAGAAGAAACTAAGGCCCACCTCTGTTCTGGTGACAGCCTCTGCAAAGGGACCTTCTAGGTGGCCTCCTCCACTGCATCTCAATGCGCCTAGTGTAAGCCAAAGACCCAAGAGCAGCCTCTGGGTACCATTGACAGTGGGGAGCCCACTTAGAGCTGACGGCAGGGGACAGTGATAACAGAGGCAGGTCAGGCTCAACCTCTGGAACAGCAGCTGGGAGGGAAGAAGATGGAGGCACATTCTTGTATATGCAGATTTTCTGATTCCTGTCCTGGATGAAATTTGTTGTGTAGATTAAATGCACAGATAGCATTCATATGAATTTAGGAAAGGGTCTGAAACTAGAAAAGAGATATAGGATAGCTATAGGTATGGAAATATATTTGAGAACAGAAAATTAGAAGGTAAGAGAAATGTTTCTGGATGAGAAAGTATTTTGTTTGGTAAAGTAATATTCTTGGGGTGCAGGCCCCGACCAGGGCAGGCAGCTAAACTTTAGATCGCTCGAGTGAGTTTCCTGGGACACCAAATAAAACAGACACACATTTTACCTTTGAATCAAGCTTCAGGGCGGCTCCTCTGCTCTGGCCTCAAGCTCCCCAAATGGAAGAGCGAGGAAAGTCACAAGAGGCTGGCGCGAGAGAGTTGGCATGTTCAGAAGTGAGCTTTTATTGGGGGGACCCCCATTCTTTAGAAAATTCCATCCAAAAAAGGTCAAGAGGGGCAGGGTTACAAGGACAGGTCAGGTAATTCGACCCCTGGGGCTGCAGGAGGCCACGCCTATGCATGAAGACACATTCTGCTACTTCAAGCAGCATCTTAGGCCACTACGAAAGTGACCAGGTCACTACGAAAGTGACCAACAGAGCCTCTTCCAATCATGGGAAGGAAAATGCTAGTCATTCAGTGTGACGGTCCCCCACATTGTGGTAAAGTCCAAGGTAGAAGAGGATAAAACTAAAGATGTAAACAGTTGTGGAACATCTGAGAACGTGGCAGACATTTGTGGAAGGTAAATCTTAAAAAGGTGGTATGAGATTAACTGGCTATAATTAGTACAGTCAAAATTATTAAAATTTTACTATAGTGATAAAAGCAAAGTCTGAAATATTCATTCTGCTCTTATCTATCAAGATAATTTTCTTGTACCTGTTAGGTTTTATTACTTGGGGA